AGTAAATTCTTTCTCAGGTGCCATGAGGTGAATGACTTGGGATCTCTGTCTAGATTAGCGATGTGTCAGTAAAAGATTCATGCTGTAAATACAGCCTGTTCATTAGGTATTACTGGATGGTGCTTACAGTAGATGAACAAACTGTATAATAGAGGAAAGACACATTGTGTTATGGCACTGAACCTGAAGTATGTTGTCAAAACCTAGTTCAATTGGAGATTTCTTCAGTGGTTCTTACACGTTGTTTTATTTCTTAGCTACCCCATGTCAGTGCTTACCTCACTCTCTTTTTTTTTTTAGTTGTCAGTTTGTACTGTGGTCAGTAACATTGTCAGGAGAGCCATACTGCTAAAAATCAATACTTTTTGTGTGCAGCATAACACCTCAGTATGCACTAGAGAAACTGAATTAAAAAGTAGTACAAAAAGTGGCCAAAGTCTCTGATACAGTTTTGGATTCTGTTTGAATGTTGTTGTTCACAAACCTCTATCTCTACCTTAGTTATAGTCATGAAACACTACTGTAAATCAAGACATAATGTTTTTGCAGCAGTATGTAACTGTTCTTATAAATCTTTTCTCTTTTCTCAATGAATAACATTAATGGAAAAAAAGGCTAAAAAAGTGCAAAACATAACCATTCTTCTACAGTCCACATTTCAAACCGTTTCTCTTTTTATTTGATTGGGAGAATAAGCCTGATTGGGCATGATAAAAATGCTTTAGAAATTTACCTAACAGTGAATAGAACAAAAGCAGTATTATTGCTTGCCCTCTGATCAGCTTTGGTTTTTTTTCCAACTGCAAATTAAATTTTATTTTGTAATCTCATCGCTCTTCAAACATACTTAAAATTGGCACCCTAGAGAGATAGCCGCGGAACTGAACTGCAGGAAATGTTGGGTAGGTGTTTATACTTTCTTGAGTTTAGAAAAATATAAGGTCCAGTAATTCAGCCTTTGGATGTGATAAAGTAGCAGCAGAAAAAAAAAAGATAATTTACTGTGATGTTAATTCAACAGTTTGAAATCCCTTTGAATTAAATTTGTCTGAGGGCTTGAAGAATGCCATTCGATGAGAGTGTTGTTAGATATGACTTATCTGTGATTTGCAAGCCATTTAAAGGGAGTTGTATATGCTAGTAAAGAGGTTGAATACTCAGGGTTGAATGCAGGACTTGACAGTTCTGTTGCATGGCAAAAATAACTTCACAATAACAGGTGTAATTCCCCAGCCCAGAATAACACAGGTTTAGTGTTGCTTTATTGTTCAGTTTTGCCAGAAACGTGCTTTCTGCTCAGCATATACTGTAGGTGGCAGTAAGGTTATGCTAGAACAGGGTAGATGGCCTGGAATAGTTAAAGGATATGTGTAAAACCTATGGATGGTTTCAGGTTTTGAAGTGATAATAAAGAACCAGTCCTTTCTGAAGGTACTTCAAGTAAATATTAGAGCTGCTATGAATAAGTGGCTTAGATTCAGATTCCATAGGTTTTACACACATCCTTTAATTTAGTTATTCCAGCCCATCTACCCTTTTCTCATTAGCTGCAAGTGTTTAGTGGCTGATGCCTCTTCTTCCATTATAACCCTTCAGCTTCTCACAGTGCTCTTTCCTTGTCTCCAGTAAATACATTCTTCTGTTGCTCCTCCTATCATGAGTGCCTTTCCCAGATGGAGGTTTACTGGTCAAAGTATTTTCATCAGTCCTGTTCTTGGATGTGGTTGTGTGAACTCAGGCTGCACGATGGGGTCGTGGCTCTGGACTTGGGTATTCCTTTACTATGTGTACACAGACACATATGTATATCTGGAAAGCAAAGTTTGGGAGACATGAACAATGTTAGAGATTCATTGTCCATGAAACATGGATTAGAGACCATTGGCCCACTGGAAACACCCATTCTACAAATGACATAAGAGCAATACTCCTGGTAAAGATGAGGATCTCTCCTCCTCTTTCTTGCTTGCAATTCAGGACTGAGTCACAGCAATGCTGTCCTCACTGGGTTTTCTGAGTTCCCTTAATGGTTTTGCATTAGCCATGGAAAAGAGATCTTCTGGTGTCACTTGAGTCCCAATGATAAAAGAGCCAGTATATACTCAGCCCCATGTTGCAGCAGTCCTGCTTTGGTCCAGGTGTCTACCTCATTATTACCCCTCACTATACGTTAAATTCGTTTGTTCTCTCCAGCTTGCCACAGGCACTTATTGGCCCTCACCATGCGAGTTAATATTGCTGACATTTTTAATGAAATCAGTTAATTGTAAGGAGATGGATATGTGGGTTGTGTGGTCTCTTGTGAGGCAATGACTATACTGTGATTTCTTCATGGCCATTACCCAAAAAAACCCTTTTTGGTGACGATAGGCATTCTATCTCACGAAGTGGAAATATGTGGTGTTAATACTAAGGAACACTATCACATAACAAAGCACATCCTCATCTTTCAAGGATGGGAAATGTAGCTAATCCCTGACCACTATTTCTAAAAATGTTTTTGAAAAAAAAATCCTTAAGGTCCAGTTTCACTTTTTGCTTGCACTTAAGTCCTTTACACAATTTTAGAGTATCCACATCATTTACAGCAAGAAAACATAATTCCTTGTAGTGGAATCACCTCTAGATGTAGCATTTCATGCTTCATTATTACAGTTTTCAGTTCACCTTTTATCCCCACCAGAAAGTTATACAAAAACATTCTGTATCCAGTAAAAAAAATTTGTAAAATACCAAAACCCTCATAACCAATTTTTAAACACAATTCCTGAAGCAGATGTTCAGCAACACACACTTTTATTAAAATAACAGTGGGAAGGAGTTTGGGTTTGTTTGTTTGGCCCTCAAGGAAATGAAAAAGCCTTTCTATAATTTTGATTATAACTTCAAGAGCAAGTTTTATTGTACCAAGGATGTGGTTTGCATGAAGGATGGAAACCTTAAGGGTTTAAAACCTGTTTTCAAAACTAGAAATTGAACTTCTCTTGTTAATCTTAGGAAGTAAAGCCTTTGGCAGTTTTCTTTTCTAATGCACAGATCATGTAGGTCTGTTATAAAAACCGATAACATGAAAAATGACACCCATTTTTTTCCACACATCTCCCTGAGCATACATAAGTAGTATCTGCATATTCCTGTGAATGAGTACCTATGATTAATCCTACTGGGGCAGAACAACAGAAAAGTAGTAGGCTGTTAGGCTTTTTTTCATTAGACTGCGAAAATCTAGAGAAACTTCTGCTTCAAGCTATTTGCTTCAAGTCTCCATTGAGCTGAATTCAGTTGGCATCAATGGTGAACTTTCACTAGGATTTTATGATGGTGCTATCTTGAGGATGTCTTCTCAAAATACATCCCCTGCACGGGTATAACTTGTAGGTACAAGTAGAAAAATTACTACTAATGATATTTTTTCTGCTAAAGATAGAACTTGATCTGACTTCTTAGAATAAGTATGAAGAATGGGAAACTAGAGAAACTCATCTTTAATTCTGTCTTCCTGAATCCTTGCATACAGTGTCACTTCTGTGAGGTGATTTTTCAGGACAGAGCCACCATTGTCTATGCATTTGCATACACAGAGCAGCAGATAAAGATTTGTTTATTATAGATGGGAAAGAAACTATGTTGACAGTCTGTGCACGGGAATGACTGTGAACAAACTACTTTTAAGGTCTAATTCCAGTTATTCGGGAAGGCCTCCAGAAGGTTGTGAGTCCTTTGTAAAATTGAGATTGTGGGTGTTGATGTGTTTGCCTACCTGTTGTGCATTTATAAAGTGATTGTACGTAATATACATCTATGCACTCGGCATGGTACACTTATTTAGATTCTATAGCATGTCCCAGAGCTGTGGTCCACAGCTGCCAAAAAAAGGACTTGTTAGAACCACACGTTACACAGAGGGCAAGAGGCAGAGATAAGGGTTGGAGAGAGGATGGTGTGTGCATACTCTCATGCTGCTGTGAATTCATGGTGTAGTTTGGGGGTGCTGGCAAGGTCTTGGGCTTTAGGAAGCTCTGCTGGATAAGCACCCTTGGCAACATGCTGCCTTTCAGACCCCTGTGAGTTAAAATACACTTGAAGAAAACAGAAACTTGAAGAAAACTTGCTGAAAACAGAAACTAAAAAGGCCAACTTAATGGAATCTCAGTAATGACAAAACAGCACATAATATGTCTACATATAGCCAATTTGGGAATAAAGGGTGGCAATAACTGGTTGATAAAGCAAGACTAAAACATCATGTTTTACACAGCAGGAGTAAGAAAACAGGTTTAGAGTCATAGGCATTACATAAATATTTAATTATGTTGAAGAAAATATTGATTCAGTGATCTCAACAGTGCACTGCTAAGTTTAAGGAGTTATTCTTGAATGCTTACCAAAGTCTTTTATTAAAATAATTTTTGTTTGAAAGACTTAAAAAAACAGAGATATGAGAAGGTTTATGCAAACTGAAATGAAAACCACTTGCACTTCTTTAAGTACAAGGGTTTAGGAAGCAAGAAGATAGGCAAAAGTGATTATCAGTGATTATATTTGGAATTCAAATGCTGGGAGGTGAGTGGGTATACTGCATTTCTCTGATCTCTGTTGTTTTGTGCAGTTATGGACACTGAGACAAAGTTTCATAATAATGTCAGCATTGTGTCAGGACCCAAATGTTGCGTTAGTCTTCGTTTTAAACCAGTAAACCTATACCTGCCTCTTCTGCTCCATTATGAATACTTTATGTACATTTTTTTTAAAAGCATTCTTTCATATAAGATGGCTCTTACCTCAGAGTATTTCATCTATAAGGAGCACAGTACTTATGAAGATTTGGGACCCAGTTTGATCTCATTTATACTGATGTAAATAAGGACCTATGATTTTGGGTTGGTACTTGGAGGAAGTAGATGCTAACCCATGTGCTTTTTCTTTCTGCACACTGTTGATAAAGTTAGTTTAATTTAATGATACTGTTACTTACCACTGTCATCTCTTCTGAATTGCAGATGGGCTTCTTCCGCCGGAGGTACAAAGAAATTATTGAGGCCGAAAAGAGCAGAAAGGAGAATGAAGATAGTTGGAACTGGGTCCAGAAAAATCAGGGAACTGCCTGTGATAACTAAAGTCCAGTCATGTGACACGTGCTCACTAGCCTATAGGTCCTGCTCTCATATCTTCCATATGTGGAAGAAGAAATCTTCTCCAGATTTTTCGGAGACCCCATTGATGCTGTGTCTTTATCACTCCAAAAAAAGCTAGGGAACATATCCTGAGGCAACCACTGCAGCATGTCAGGTGACTGGAGCAATTAACACTTCATTTAAGAGTTGAACTTTGAACTTTGGTAACTAAGCTGCAGTGCAGAGCAATATTTATGAATCCAACTATGTGGTATACCCTCAGGGGAAGACTGTTACCTAAAAATATTTTTTATAAATATAAGCTTTTTATATTGATTATGTCTTTATATTTGTATCAATGTTTTATAATTTCTATTGAATAGCTATATAGTTCACTCAAGCACTGATATCTGGCTAAATCTTTGGAATTACATATATGTATATATAAATTTTATTGTACTTTTAAACTTCAATGCAAGAGAGAAAAGAGAGATGTGCAGATAAAAGTGGCTGAATGCTACATATGCTTAATTCACAAGGCTTGGTAATATTGTATATAGAACACTTAATGGAAATAAGCCAAAATCTTTTCACTGTCTCTTTCTTTGAGTTGAATTTCATGTTTGATTTATAAACTAAAGAATCTAAAATATTTCACAGTTGTGATGTTCTGTGTCTTGAGTCTGTCCCAAATAAGAGAGGATGGAAATGTGTCCTCTGACATGTAGCAAGATGTAACTTTCTTTGTCTCATTGAAGAAGGCATCACAGAATGTTTTCCTTTAGGAATTGTTCTTTTGCAGTCTCTAGTACTTTGATAATAGTGTAGGACTGTACAGTTGAGATACCAGAAGGATATAATTGGGCCAGCCATAATGGCATTGACAAATTACTTGGAATAAAAAAAAATAAAAATTAAATGAAGCCATATTAATATTAAGAGGGATAGTTTTTAAGCTACTGTTATGGATTGCAATCTGTTGCTATCAAAGCAAGTGACAAATTGCTACAAGCTATCAGCATTATGTCTGCCTTGTGAGTTAAATACATGATCATGAATTTGTTTATATGATAATTTTAAGAGAGAAGCAAGGGTTAAAATGCTTCGGTCTTTGGATCTTGAGGTTTCCTATCTTGGTGTTCCAAGTACTGAATGCCATCCTTTCTTGTGCATTAAGAAGGAAATTTAGTCAAGGTGCAGATGTTACTGGATCTCACATTGCCACTTTGGTTGCTGGTAATTCCTTAACAAACCATTAGTTGAATTAGTAGAAACCTAGTTGTAATTATTCAACCATGTTTCTTCAAAAAGCTCTTGGATCTCTGAATAGAAATAGTGGAACGCTGTAATACTTGGGTTTAGATTCTACTTGTATTTTGCACCTTGTGTAAATAAGAAGTAAATGTCATGTTGCTATATAATCCAGGTGAAGGAAAGAAGGATCGAGATCTGTGGTAGAAAGTGAAGGAAAACCAGGATCAAAAGGTTGCAGGATGTCTTCTTCCTTAAGGGTATGGTAAAAGAACAGCAGTAAGTGGAAACTTAAATGTAGAGAACACGCAAGAAATCTGCTTGAGAACAGGTTTTAGTCTTGCTCTTCCTTGCCAAATTCATTATAGCTTCAGATGTAAAAAAACGAACCACATCCATATTCCTGTTTGCTTTTTTTCTCTACTGGCATTAAGTGTCTGCTTTTACTGCAGTACTGATCAATATTTATTAACTATTAACTATCTGCACGCACTAGGGAGAAAACAGTACTAAAGCGAATGAAGTGTATTGATTCAACATCTGACAAGAAAAGCTATTAGTCTATTCAGTTATCTTAAAACAATCATTTGTGATTTGAGAGGTTTCATGTAACAGATGATCATTTAAGCCAGAATCTGAAAAAAACCTGCCAAGTTAAAATCCTGCTATAACCACATGTAGTGGATAGCAGTGGAGTGCAGATTTTCATCTGAGTGCAGAAACAAAAGGCTGATGGCATTTGACTACGCTGTTGTATTATCATAGAGAGATAGAATGGATTGGGTTGAAAGGGACCTTAAAGATCATCTAGTTCCAACCCCCCTCACTATGGGCAGGGATGCCATCCACTAGATCAGGTTGCTGAAAGCCCTAGCCAGCCTGGCCTTGAACTGCTGTATTATCAGAGAATCAATGCATAATAGAATGGCTTGGGCTGGAAGGGACCATAAAGATCACCTAGTTTCAACCCCCTGCTCTGGGGGTCTGACATCAGTTAGTTTTGCTGATATAATAGCCTAATTTGTCTGTTTTTTCTGTTGTGAAAAAAATATCTGAGTCAGACAGAAGTTGGATATGAGTTTGATTCACAGCTATGAATTGAATAATAAAACGTTGAAAGTGCTTGCTGAAAAAAGGACTCCATTTATTAGCTGTAATAATCTCTAGTACCTGCCCTCTCTAAATCTAAGCTCTCAAAAAACTATTAAAATGTAAATTTTCTGAAAAAATAATTCAGGGGACAAGTGAAACTATTTGTGAATTTAACTGAATTTAAAAGTTTCCATCCAAAACAAGGAGGACCTTCCCTTTGAAAAGATTAAATGCTTCATTTCCACTTTTTAAACAAAAAATTACTTTGAAATCTGCCAAAAATGCTTCATTACAGTATTCTAAAAATCAAAATTAGTTATTCCTTTGAAGCATCTTTTGAAAGTATATAAAGAAAAGAGTTAAAAAAGGTGAAGTACCCATTTAGCATTTCATATTGTGTTGGACATTTTTTTTTGCTTTGTCTCAAGGCAAAAATACTTTTCTCAGTTGGTTAAAGTAAAAAACAAATAAGTAAAAAACAAACAAATCCCATTTCATTGAGCCCACATTGGACTTCTTTGATTTCTGACTTGAATTGTCAGAGAATTGATCCAGCACAAGTCATCCCTTAGTGAAAATCTAGTTGTTGGCCAGATGAGTGCCATATTCTTGAAATAATCCACAAATTCTTTGTATCATCACTATTAGGCACTCAGTAGTTCTGTTGTCACAGATGGTTTTGGTTTTATATGTATACTCTCTCTATATTTTTTTTTTTAAAAATCAAATTCCATTGTGGCTTTTGCTTGTTAGGACAGTCAAATTTGACAATGAAACCTGCCAGTTCTTCATATTAAAATGCTGTATGTGCACCTTTTCACTCCATAAAAAGCCAACCAAACAAAAAGCCCCATTAATATCAGCTGGTTGCAAATAATCATAAATAAATTTTATCAAAATCTAGAGACAGTTGCTTTGGAAGCTGCTTTTAGGTCCTTGAAAGTCCCCATGGGTCAGATACTTGTTAGTGTCTTTATGCTGTTCTGCTTGTACAGCAGCTGGAGGAGGTACAAGTTCTCTCCAGTTAATCCATTTTGAGACAATGTCATCAGATGTATTGGAGAACTTCTTTGAAAGGTTTGCTGAATTCGCAGTGCCTTTTTTTTCCAGCACTCTCACATTGTGCCAGCTCTAAGCTGTGCAGGGGGAAGCTTAGAAGTGGGCAGTAACATTTTCAAATGCATCCTCTGGCATATGAGAGATCTGAAGCTTGCAAAATGCAAGGTGTCTTCATACAAAAAGTACCCCTGAAGTTGCTTTTAAGATAGGAAGAAAGCAATCTCAGAAAAATATGGTCAGGAAGAAAGGGGAGGGGGGGAAAGAATAAAAAAAAAATCAGTTAATGCAGAGCCTATGCTGTTGCAACCCCTTTTAATTTCCATCTTGACATCAAGGTCACAGTCATTTCACGGTTTTGGTGGCCCACAGCACAGGGATGAATTTCACTTCCCAAGTTGTGAGAACATTTGCCACCTTTCATGGTATGTTTTATGACCATTTCATTTGAAAATCAGTTGTCTGCTCTTGGAGGTGAACTTTCATCAGTTCTCCCCAAGCAACAGCAGGGCTAGAATACTTTAAGACTGTCACTAGTATGCTCTGGTACTTGGCCAATGTAGCTAACAAAAATACCCGCTATTTTTTTTCTCAATAAATCTGTTCTTTTATTTGCCCAATTGTAATGAGGAGCTCAGCAAACTGTAGAAAATACTGGAGCAGTCTCTGAATTGATGTCATCTCACAAATTGCTTGGAATATCTTGGGGAGAAATTATGCCTGATATGAACAATTTAAGCAATCCTTTCATCTCAGAGTGGCAAAGGCCTTTGAACAACAGTGAGAACAGCCCTCTCTGCCTTAATACATGAATGGAAATGTCCCCACATACAAGCCAGAGATGTGCAGGTAGCCCAGTGTGCTGAAAGCAATAGTTATGCAAAGTTTGTCTTTGACAATATTTAGTATCGACTTTCTTGAATGTCTTCTGTTTGTGGGCACATTTTGGAGTCTTGCACAAGTTTGAAGCATAGAATCCAGGTGGCATGAGAATACATAATATTGCTTTCACTAAAGGATTAAGGGAGTCACGGAACTAATTTCTGTCCTTTGTCCAAGTTCTTCCACTTGCCAGGGGCTCTTGGATATCAATGAATGTAGGAATTAATTAATTTAGTGTGCATTGATTAAATTGGCATGAAGACTGTAGCTGCTTTTGGAGCATGGTTTGCATATACAGTAGACTACCTGCACCATTGTCACTCCTTTTTCTCAGAATGTCACTGCTTATGTATTGTAAAATTGTATGGGATTTTTTGTGAACTTGTGGTTGGAAGAACATGTTCACTTTTGTTGATGTCACCTGTATTTAGAAGCTTGTGTTCACCTGTATTCTAATTCACTTGCACTGTTTTGGAAATGTCAGGTTTACAAAAAACCACAACTTTTTGGAATAAAAAGTGGCTGCAAAATTATCCTAATAATACCATTTTTTCAGTTATTGTTCTTGTCCAGCTCAAGTATTTTTCCATTAATTGGGTGAGACATTTTCTCCTGTATGTTTGAATTAAATAGTATGTGTATGTGTGGATAATGGGCATCTGTTATCATAATTCTATGACTTACAGCATCAAGCTCTTTGGAGACTAAGAGTACAAATAGCTTGACCACAGTATTTTAAAACTGTGAAAATAAAATAAAGGTAGTTGGAATTATTTATATTTCAACAATATTGCTCTATCAACAACAAATGAAACCCCATATGATGGTGATACTGACCTATAATAAGAATGTCAACCTGTGTAACTTGATTTCTATTTCAGTCTGTATGAACTTGGATAGAAATTGAATGAGTAAGCTTCGTGTATTTTTCCTGCAAATATTTATATTCCATAGTAGCTAAAATATAGTAGCTAAATAATATATGTGAAATAATTTTTTCAACTCTACAAATCCCCCTGCTGTGGGAATAGGAGCTGGGTATAAGCTTTAGCTTCTACAGCTGTAAGTGTTTCAGTGTTCTCCAGTCATACAAAAGCAGTCTATTTCCTCTGTATTAGATTGTTGACTGTATATCTAAGAAGAGGTTGGGCAGTTGAGACCTAACCTGTGACTCGGAGCACTCTTGTACTGGTGGAAGACCGTGGCTGTGTGCCAAAGGCATTAGGGCACCTCCAGGTATATCTGGGTTCTGGCATGTAGGTAGCACCCTACAAAGTAAAAACAAATCTCTCAGTCAAGAAGGCTTTCTTCAGGGTAAAAAAAAAAAAAAAAAGCATTGTTGGGCAAAAGTGGTAGGAGAATGCTGCTGTCAAGAGGGATGCAATGCCCAGTTTGCCTTAGTGTCACATCGAGCTAAAATAATAACCAGAGACTTTCGGATGTACTAGCATCTCTTTGTTACCATGGGAGTGTATATATGTGTGTAAGCAGGTGGTGACCGTCCCGTTCTGGGACAGAGGATTGATGAGCTAACAGTGCCCTCTGTGGGGCTTATTTGCCTCTTGTCTTTTCATGAGCAGAGAATAGCAGTTTGCACATAGCACGATTTTGTGTGTTACCTTCCCGCAAATGGCTTTTAAGAACTTCTTAGGACGTCTATGACAAAGTAGTTTTGTTTTAGAAAACAAACCCACAACCTTTAGCAGATTTGTTTCTTTCAGTTTTGCCAAGAAAGGAAGAACTAGATTAAAAATCAAGAAAAAGTAAGACATTATTTGACAATGGGAAAAACATCTCATCTGTTAGCATGCTGCTCAGCTTGGATCATATGTAGGACTGGAATTTGTTTGTTTGCCCTTTTGGCT